CCCAAATCCCCCCAAAAAACCCAAAAAATGTCCCAAAAATGGCCCCAAAATCCCCCAAAAACTGGCCCCAAAATCGGTCCAAAAATCCCCAAAATCCCTCAAAAAACGGCCCAAAAACCCCCAAAAATGGCGCAAAAATCCCTCAAAAAATGGCTCCAAAAATCCTCTGAGAAATGGCCCCAAAATTGGTCCAAAAATCCCCAAAATCCCCCCAAAAATGGCCCCAAAATCCCCCAAAAAACGGCCCCAAAATCCCCCAAAATTCGGCCCCAAAATCCCCCCCAAATGGCTCCAAAATTCTTCCAAAAACCCCAAAAAATGGCCCCGAAAAGTCCCCAAATCCCCCAAATTTTCGCCGTTTTTTCCCAAACTTCCCAGACCCTTCCCAGAATTTTTTTTAATTTTCCCTGAAATTTGCCCCAAATTTTCCCAAAATCTTTTGAATTTTCCCATATTTTCCCTGAATTTTCAGGAATTTGCCACAAATTTTCCTAAAATCTCCTGAATTTTCCCAAAATCTCCTGAATTTTTCCAAATTTCCCCCGATTTTTTGGGGGATTTATCCCAAATTCCCCCAGATTTCCGCCAAAATTTCCCCAAAATTTACTGTAATTTCCCCCAAATACTGTCAAAATCTCCCAAATTTTCCGAAAATCCCAAATTTCCCCCGATTTTTCAGGGATTTCCCCCAAATTTCCCCCAATTTCTCGGGGATTTTTCCCCGAATTTTCCCCGATTTCTCAGGGATTTTTCCCAAATTTCCCCCAAATTTCCCCCAATTTCTTGGGGATTTTCCCCCGATTTTCCCACGATTTCTCAGGGATTTTTCCCCAAATTTCCACCAAATTTTCCCCAATTTCTCAGGGATTTTTTCCCAAATTTCCCCCGAATTTCCCCCGATTTCTCGGCGATTTTTCCCCAAATTTCCCCCGATTTTTCAGGGATTTTTCCCCAAATTTCCCCCGATTTCTCAGGGATTTTTCCCCAAATTTCCCCCAATTTCTCAGGGATTTTTCCCCAAATTTCCCCCGAATTTCCCCCGATTTCTCAGGGATTTTTCCCCAAATTTCCCCCGATTTTTCAGGGATTTTTCCCCAAATTTCCCCTGATTTCTCAGGGATTTTTCACCAAATTTCCCCCGAATTTCCCTCGATTTCTCGGGGATTTTTCCCTGAATTTCCCTCGATTTCTCAGGGATTTCTCCCTGAATTTCCCCCGATTTCTCTGGGATTTTCCCCCAAATTTTCCCCGATTTCTCTGGGATTTTCCCCCAAATTTCCCCCGATTTCTCGGCGATTTTTCCCCAAATTTCCCCCAATTTCTCTGGGATTTTCCCCCAAATTTCCCCCGATTTCTCGGGGATTTTCCCCAAATTTCCCCCAATTTCTTGGGGATTTTCCCCCGAATTTCCCCCAATTTCTCGGGGAATTTCCCCCGATTTCTCAGGGATTTTTCTCCAAATTTCCCCCGATTTCTCGGGGATTTCTCCCCGATTTTCCCCCCAATTTCCCCCGATTTCTCAGGGATTTTTCCCCAAATTTCCCCCGAATTTTCCCCCGATTTCTCGGCGATTTCTCCCCAAATTTCCCCCGATTTCTCGGCGATTTTCCCCCCAATTCCCCCCGAATTCTCCGGGATTTCCCCCGATCCCCTGAGTTTGTCCCGAATTTCCCAAATCCCGCTGAATTCCCCCCAAATCGCGCGCAGGGATCCTGGTGGCACACTACCTGCAGAGCGTGACGCCGCAGCTGGCGCTGGGCGCCGAGCTCGTCTACCACCGGCGCCCCGGCGAGGAGGGCGCCGTGCTCTCGCTGGCCGGCCGCTACTCAGGTGAGCCCCAAAATCCACCGGGGGACCCCAAATCCTGGGAGAAAAACCCCAGAATCCTGGGAGAGATACACCCCAAAATCCTGGGAGAAAATCCCCAGAATCCTGGGAGAAAACCCCCAGAATCCTGGGAGAAAACCCCCAGAATCCTGGGAGAGATACACCCCAAAATCCTGGGAGAGAGACCCCAAAATCCTGGGAGAGAGACCCCAAAATCCTGGGAGAAAATCCCCAAAATCCTGGGAGAGATACACCCCAAAATCCTGGGAGAGAGACCCCAAAATCCTGGGAGAGAGACCCCAAAATCCTGGGAGAAAACCCCCAGAATCCTGGGAGAAAAACCCCAGAATCCTGGGAGAAAACCCCCAAAATCCTGGGAGAAAAACCCCCAGAATCCTGGGAGAAAACCCCAGAATCCTGGGAGACAAACCCCCAGAATCCTGTGAGGAAACCCCAGAATCCTGGGAGAAAATCCCCAGAATCCTGGGAGAAAATCCCCAGAATCCTGGGAGAAAA